ATATATACGTATATATACACAAACAAAATGATAAACACAGATATACGCAGATACTCGAGTACAGAGTGACGCTTTCACGCTCTTACCTGCACGACATACAAACGGTCGGATCGCCTCTGCCTGGTTTCGTTCTCAACGCCCCCACTTCATGATATCCCTCACCAGACGACAGCTGAGAAGAGAGTGGTTGACAGGCATTTTAGCCTTTGATTTTTAGGGTTTGATGGTGTCAGGATGTTAGGGGTTTAGGGTTTTAGGGTTTAAGGTTGAGGGTTTAAGGTTTAATTGACTACATATTAAATAATCAGATAGTGGTACAAACATTTGGTGATAGATGGACAACCGTATTCTATGTACCACCACGTCACTACTGCACATATTTCCTTATATAGGTCAATACAGAATAGTAATAAATAAAATACTGTTTGTACTCAACATTCTATATCCTCCCTTTGTGAATAGACTCCGATCAAACACTTGATTAATAAGCATCATACCGTACCTTAGGGCTCTCCAGTATCACACCTGGCCACAGAACATTGTGTGTCGTACGATGTGCCTATACCACTCCCTACGTCGGTATGGGTTCAGCCTCAACCGTACTTCTATTTACCACAACTGCACTACTGTGTATATCTCCATGTATGGGTCAACACAGAATAACACAAGTGGAATACCAATAGTACCCAACATAATACATTCTCCCCTTCTATTTACCACAACTGTACTACTGTTTTTATCTCCATGTATGGGTCAACACAGAATAACACAAGTGATCTACCAATAGTATCCAACAACATACTACATTCTCCCTGTGTGGCTAAATAGATATCAATCACCCCATTAACAACCAACATACCGTGTCTTGGGGTCCGCCAGCCACACACTTGGCGCCTGTGCGTTGAGTATCGTATGTTGTCTGTCGCGTCTCTCCTTCATCATCAGACATTTCGCTCTGTGCAGCGGTCTTGAAGATCGATGCGTCACCACCTATACACAAGCACGAGAGGAATCTGAAACTGGGATATGTATAATTGATAGCCAGAGTTGTGGTGTGTATGGTTGTTATTAAGAGTGGTCTGGAAGAAGATACCTACACAAACGTACGACATGATCTCAGCTATGGCACTATTGGTCTGAGGATGTCTGAAAGAAGACACCTAACAAACATATGACATGAAACATACGACATGATCTCAGCTATGGCACTATTGGTAGACTGAGGATATCTGCTTTGTGCACACACATGCATAGTACTTATTTTGTCATCTGTGAAGATGCATTCCTGATACAGTTTATGCACACACATGCATAGTACTTATTTTGTCATATGTGAGGATGCATTCCTGTTACAGTTTATGCACACACATGCATAGTACTTATTTTGTTATATGTGAGGATGCATTCCTGTTACAGTATATGCACACACATACATGGTACTTATTTCGTCACATGTAAGGATGCATTCTTGTTACAGTTTATGCACACACATGCATAGTACTTATTTTGTCATACGTGAGGATGTATTCCTGCTACAGTTTATGTGCACACATGCATAGTGCTAAGTTTACCAATTGCATGCACACACATACATGGCGTTTGGCTTATGTACAGATGCAGTGCCACGCCAGGCGATATCTGAAGTTTTCCGCGTTCGTTTCTGGCCACTAAGGTAGGCCCATTTCCATTGTAGAAACGCTCAATCTCTCTCAGCAAGTATCTGTGTGTTCAAGTTACGCATCAGCGAATCAGTTCCAGCTACATGTATGTGGATGGTTAGTAACCATGCACATACATACGTTCTCATACTATCCCTGGGGGCCTCAACCAGACCATGGGGCATGCACATGCAGCAGGTGTATATATGCTCTCTGATTCGTGAGATACAATCATGGATATGATTTACATTATCCTTAGTTGATGTTTAAATATTGAAGTACTGTCGTCTGTATTGTTGTAGGGTTTTGGGGTTTAGGGTTTGGGTGACTATGGTTTGGGTCCGCATAGGCCTAAACGTTACGCATTTGACGTCCATTGATGTGAATGGTATACAGTGGCTTTGCTGTGTGTATACACATGTTTTAGGGTTTTAGGGGTTTATAGCTGTGTGTATACACATTCCTGTGCACAAGCAAAGCCATCTCTGGCTCCCTGACAATGTGCTTAGTAGAAAAAATATATTTCAAAAAGAATACATATATGGCAACAGTCCGGAGGGGTTCGAATGCTCTATTGTTCACATCCAATACATAAGCATGGATAAGCATGTGTATCCCATACAGTAAGAAAACTGTACATATATAGAGCAACTACTGTGAGAAATATATGTAAGTAGTTATGGTCAGACATATATACTTGTTGCAGGAATATCAATCAGACACGCTCACATACAGTCCTCAGGGCACGAGTACTTAGAATTGTAATTAAGTGTTCAGGATTGTACTTGAGTGTTTAGAATTGTACTTAAGTGTTTAGAATTGTACTTAAGTGTTTAGAATTGTACTTAAGTGTTTAGACTTGTACTCAAGTGTTTATACTTGTACTGAAGTGTTTAGACTTGTACTGAAGTGTGAGCATACCCACCCCCCGCATGTGCTGCAAAACCCCATGGGATTAAGCAAATTAAAAACATATGCTTTGTAGCATGAATTACATTCAGGCACTCTCATTCAGGCACACTATTCGCAATAGAACTTAAAGCATAGTACTTCAACTGACCCAACGAATACACACACACACACTATTCGCAG